TTCCCAACAGCCATTGCTCACTTTGTGTCTCTGTGTCACATTTTGGTAAATCTCCCAGTATTTCAAACGTTTTCATTATTATAGTATTTGTTATGATGGTCTGTGATAGTACTACTGTAATTATTTTGGGGTGTCACGAATCACACCCATGTAAAATGGTGAACTTGATCAGTGAATGTTTTGTGTGTTTGACTGCTCTACCAACCAGGTGTTCTCCCATCCCTCTCCCTCTCTTCTCTATTCCCTGAGACACTATGATACTGAAATTAGGCCAATTAACAACCCTACAACAGCCTTGAAGTGTTCAAATGAAAGGGGGGTCCACTTCTCTCACTTTCAATCAAAAGCTAGAGGTGATTAAGCTCAGTGAGGAAGGCATATCAAAAGCCAAGACAGGCCAAAAGCTAGGCCTCTTGTGACTCTTGTTAGCCAAGTTGTGAATGCAAAGAAAAATTTCTTGAAGGAAATTAGAAGTGCTACCCTAGTGAACACATTAATGATAAGAAAGCAAAACCGTTTGCTGATAAAAAGTTTTAGTGGTCTGGATAGACAATCACACCAGCTGCAACATTCTCTTAAGCCAAAGGCTAATCTAGAGTTGGGCCCTATTTCTCTTCAATTCTATGAAGGTTGAGAAAGGTGAGGAAGCTGCCAAGAAAAGCTTGAGGCTAGCAAAGGTTCATTCATGAGGTTTTAAGGAAAGAAGCCATCTTCAGAACATAAAAATGCAAGGTGAAGTGGAAAGTGCTGATGCAGAAGTTGCAGCAAGTTATCCTGAAGATTTAGCTAAAATCATTAATGAAGGTGACTACATTAAACAATAGATGTTCCATGTAGATGAAACAATCTTATATTGAAACAAGATGTCATCTAGGGCTTTCATAGCTAGAGAGCTTCAAAGGACAGGATGACTCTCTTGTTAGGGGCCAATGCTGCTGAGTGATTTAAGTTGAAGCCAATGCTCACTGAACATTCAGAAAATCCTAGGGCCCTTAAGAATTATGCTAAATTTACTCTGCTTGAGCTCTATAAATGGAACAAAGCCTGGGTGACAACACAATGTTTACAACATAGTTTACTGAATATTTTAAGCCCACCATTGAGACCTAGTGCTCAGAATAAAAGATTCCTTTCAAAATATTGCTGCTCACTGACAATGCACCTCATCACCCAAGAGCCCTGATGGAGACGCACAATGAGATAAATGATGTTTTCATGCCTGCTAACACAACATCCACTCTGCAGCCCGTGGACCAAGCAGTAATTCTGACTTTCAAATCTTATATTTAAGAAATACCTTTCATAAAGCTCTAGGTGCCATAGATAGCGATTCCTCTCATGGATCTGGACAAAGTATACTGAATACCTTCTGGAAAGGCTTCACCATTCTAGATGCCATTAAGAACATTTGGGATTCCCGGAAAGAGGTCAAAATAACAACATTAACAAAAGTTTGGAATGAAGCCAATTCCATCCCACATGAATGACTTTTGGGGACTTAAGACTTTAGTGGAGGAAGTAACCACAGATGTGGTGGAAATCGCAAGAGAATCAGAATTACAAGTAGAACTTGAAGATGTGACTCAATAGCTGCAATCTCATGATAAAACTTGAATGGATGAGGAGATGCTTTTTGTGGATGAGCAAAGAAAGTAGCTTCTTGAGCTAGAATCTATTCCTAGTGAAGATGCTATGAAGACTGTTGAAATAAACAAAGGATTTAGAATTTTACATAAACTTAGTACAGAAGTGGCAGCAGGGTTTGAGAATTGACTCTAATTTTGAAAGAAGTTCTGCTGTGAGTGGAATGTTATCAAACAGCATCACATTCTACAGAGAAATGATGTGAAAGAGTCAATGCAGCAATCTTCATTGTTGTCTTATTTAAAGAAACTGCCACAGCCACTCCAACTTTCAGCCACCACCAGTGAGCAGCCATCAACACCGAGACAAAATTCCCCCACCAGCAGAGCTTACAACTCATTGAAAGCTCAGATGAGAGTCAGCATTTTTTAGCAATGAAGTATTTTTAATAAGGTTTGTACATTTTTTTAGATATAATGCTACTGCACATTTACTATAGTATGTGCATATAACATATGTACCAGGAAACCATTCATTTAACTTGTTTCATATTGCAATATTCACTTCATTGCTGTGGTCTAGAACCAAATCCACAGTATCTCCAAGGTATGGCTGCATACAGTTTTCACAGCATTCTAAAATTTGAGAGTTGCAGAGTGGTACAAACATTATGTCAACTATAAAAATATGTAGGAGGACACGAACTGGTACTATGTACAAATGAAAATCAGCATGGAACAAATGTGAAATTGTAAACAATATGAGAAATACTCTTAAAAAACATTGTTTTAGTCTCTTTTCAATAAAAATGAGTTAATTTCTTCTCTTCCTTTTATTATCTCTCTCAAACTGCCTGCGTCCTAACAGAGCAGACAAGACTGCTGAACACTATGTTTAAATAAATCATAAATGGACAATGTTTTCCTTCTATGATACCAAGTTCAAAATGGTCAACTCTCACGAGATATGATGGGCTCTAGGAATTTATCCTTCCTAGCAAACATGTACCTTTCATTCAATTTGGGGGCTGCCACTGAACCAGGGATAGGCAGACTTGGAACATAGCGATCAATTTCTCTCCCTGCTGTTCCTGGTGCACCTGGTGGTTCAGTCAGTTAAGCATTTGCCTTCAGCTCAGGTCATGATCCCAGCGTCCTGGGATCAAGCCCTGTGTTGGGATCCCTGCTCAGCAGGGAGCCTGCCTCTCCCTCTGCCTGCCTCTCCCCACCTCTCTCTCTGACAAATAAATAAATAAAATCTTAAAAAAATAAAAATAATGGTGTTCCTTCAAAACATATTTTTGTAGTTCTGGGGCGCCTGGGTGGCTTAGTCGTTAAGCATCTGAGTGACTCTTGATTTCGGCTCAGGTCATGATCTCAGGGTTGTGAGATGGAGCACCGTATCAGGGCTCCATGCTGGGGGGATGGAGTCTGCTTAAGAGTCTCTCTCCCTCTCCCTCTGCCCTACACCCCCTCCCTAAAAACATAAAAATAAAACATACTTTTGTAGTTCGAATGGGACTTCAGAAATAATAGAAATTTACCAATTAAAAGCCTCCTGAAAACAACCTTCCCCATTTTCCTGGTCGGCTCCAGTCCCTCAAAAGCCGACAGTAGATTCTGAAGCAGCCACGTGGCCCTGGTTACGTCTTTTCACAGTTTCAGTGCTTTGTTACCTCCTTTAAGCTTATTTTACTTATTCAAACTGTTCTCAACGCTCAGTGTAACTTATGTCACTTTCTTCTTCATACCCTATCAGGTCTTTGAAGAAATCCATTTAATGCAGAAATTTATTAACCTTTGGCTTCAACGATGTGTAAATCTTCTGAGAGGCAAACCACCCAATAATCCAGTTGCTTCCCGCAAATGTATAAACTCACATTTAACAAATTAGGATATTCATTGTTTTGGAATTGGCCTTAATAAGTAAAACAAGCAGCTTTAAACACATATAAATCCAAAAGAAAAAGAAAAAAGTATTCTTTATCTGGCAATTTCACTGGGTTTACACACAAAAGAATTGAAAGCAGGGTCTTACGAGATATTTGCATTCCTGTGTTCACAGCAACATTATTCACAATAGCCAAAAGGGGAAAGCAACCCAAATGTCCATCAAAAAATAAATGAATAAACAAAATGTGGTATATACATACAATGGAATATTAATATTATTCAGGCTTAAAAAGGAAGGAAATTGTGATACATGCTATAACATGGATGAACACTGAGGACACATATGGTAAGTGAAAGAAGCCAGTCACGAAAGGACAAACACTATAAAAAGTCCCCAGAATAATCGAATTCACAGAGACAGAAAGAATCGTGTTTGCCAGACGTTGGGGTGAAAGGGAGGAATGAGGGATTGCTGTTTAATGTGTAGAGAGTTTAAGTTTTATAAGAAAGAGTTCTGGAGATTTGCTGCATAACAATATAAATGTACTTAACACTTCTAAACTGTACACTTTAATAGTTTTATGTTAAAACTATAAATTTCATGTTATGTGTATTTTATTAAAATTTTAAAAAATCTTCTCTATGTCGCAAAACTAAATCCTAGGGTTATAAACCCTTTCACTTTTGAACTACCACATTATCCATCATTTCAACAACACTTGGCAGGGTGAGAAGTCAAGCGAGACAAATAGCACTTTTCGAGTATCTTATGCTGCTTAATGACAGGTGTGTTGTCCGAAACAATTAGCTTTTATTTTATTTTATTTTTTTAAAGATTTTATTTATTTATTTTGACAGAGAGAGACACAGCGAGAGAGGGAACACAAGCAGGGGGAGTGGGAGAGGGAGAAGCAGGATCCCCATTGAGCAGGGAGCCCAATGCGGGGCTTGATCCCAGGACCCCGGGATCATGACCTGAGCCGAAGGCAGACACTTAACGACTGAGCCACCCAGGTGCCCCTGAAATAATTAGCTTTTAAAAAGGAATAGCCTTAACTCTCCTCTGGAACTGGTTAGTGATCTCAGTTTTTCATTAAGTTCTTGACAGCTCAATGTCCTCACATCTGTCATTGTTTGGGAGACTGATTCCAAGAACATAAACTGCATCAAGGACTAGGCAACAAATTTATTCTGGTTCATGGGACAGATCTGAACCCATCTGTTTTCTAATCAAAAGCCATATTTGAATCAGTTTTGTTCCACCACAGTACCATGCCGATGGGAGCAATACAATCATACAGTATTTTCCTCCTTTCTATCCATGTAGTACAAGAAAAACAAATCAATTAGAACCGTAAGAGCATCCTCAGAAACAGGGTCTTTACAGCCTGTGGAATCTGCAATCTTTTCCATCTTTATCTGTTTATTCTTCAGACTACTATGATTACATTTCCTCTAAGTGACATGGTTTCTTTTAGAATTACATGGGGAGAAAATAGTCCCGTGTTGTAATAACTAACTTACCTTAATCTTTTTTTAAGTTGTAAACTGTCATGGATGATCCTTTTAACAAACTCTAATTCACCTCCTTCTGCCATGATTTCTGTGATACCTCCTGTATTTACGGAACTAGGTGGAGGTCTCCGAGGATTTCGAGAGTTTACTCCCTGCACGACAACAACATGTGGTGAAAAATTTTTACACCATAAGACCAAGTCTTTGACTGTAATCTAGTTCAAAGTAAGAATGCTTAGATGTAATTTAGTTTCCAAATATCATGCTAAATCTAGGATTTAAAAATCATACAGCCATTGTAATATTACATTTTAAGCAACTGGATTCATGCTAATATTCTTCCCCAGGGTCTTTTTTACCTTCCATCTTTGTGATTTAACATATAAAAACTTTACCTTTTTTATGTAGCCTAATCTGTCACTTTTCTTTATGTTTTGTCTTGGTATCATGCACAGAAAATACTGCACCCAAAGATTATATAAATACTTATGTTTTCTTCTAGTACTCTTATGATCTCACTTTTTAAATTTAAATATTTAATCCCCTCCTACCTCAAATCATATTAAAAAATTAAATAAAGCAAAGATCTAAATATAAAACCTAAAATCATAAAATTTCCAAAGAAAACATATAAGTAAATCTTCATGACCTTCGATTAGGCAATGGTCTCTTAGAGAAATTGTACTCCTTAAAATTTAACTTATAGGCTGCAAAGGACACCAAGAAAGTGAAAATATGAGGTGCCTAGGTGGCTCAGTGCGTTAAGCGTCTGCCTTCAACTCGGGTCATGATCCCAGGGTCTGGGACTGAGCCCCAAGTCAGGCTCCCTACTCAGCCAGGAGCCTTCTTCTCTCTCTTCTTCCTCTCCTTCTGACCTTTCCCCACCCCCGACCCCACGCTTGTGCTCTTGCTCTCATGCTCTCTCTCTCGAATAAATAAAATCTTAAAAAAAAAAAATGAAAAGACAACCCACAGGAGAAAATGTTTGCAAATAATAAATCTAATAAGGAACTTATGTCTAGAATACATAAAGAATTCTTACAACAATAATAAAAAGAAAAATAATCCAATTTTTAAATGGGTAAAGGATCTGAACAGTCATTTCTCGAAAGAAGATATACAAATTGCCAATAAGCACATGAAAAGATGTTCAACATAATTAGTCATCAAGGAAATAAACATCAAAACCAAGATGAGATACCACTTCATACCCACTAGGATGGCTATGATTAAGACAACATATAATAACAAGTGTTGACAAGCATGTGGAGAAACTGGAAAGTGGAACCCTCATACACTGCTGCTGGTGGAATGAAAAATGATGCAGCCACTTTGGAGAACAGTCTGGCAGTTCTTCAAACAACTAAACAGAGTTACCATTTGACTCAGCAATTCCACTCCTAGGTATATACCAAGGAGAAATGTCTACACAAACGTGTACATGAATGCTCACATTAGCATTATTCGTAACAGCCAAAAAGTAAAGACAACCCAAATGTCCATCAATGAATGAATGGATAAGTAAAATGTGGTATTTCCATACAATGGAATACTATTTGGCAATAAAAAGAAATTAAGTACTGATACATGCTACAGTAGGGATGAACCTTGAAAATATACTATCTTTAGTCAAAGTCAGTAACAAAAGACCACATATTGTATGATTCCACTTACATGAAATGTACAAAACAGGCAAATCCATAAAGACAGAAAGTAGACTGGTGGTTACCGGGGACTATAGGAGCCGTGCGAAACAGAGTTAACTGCTAATGGGGATGGGGGGGTAGGGGAGTGATGAAATCATGTTCTAAAATGGACTGTGATGATAGCTGCACAACTCTGTGAATATACTAAGAATAACTAAATTTTACCCTTTAAGTGGGTAAATGGTATGGCATGTGAATTATATCTCAATAAAACTGATATAAAAAGAAATTTAGTTCTGATGCTAGTAATATTCTATTTCTTCATCTGGATGCTGGTTCCACAGGAGTGTTCACTTTGGAAAAGCCAATTTACACTTATGGCATGGGTACCTTTATGTATATATCTTCATATATACATAAAATATACTGCTGCTGGATTTCTCAGATATGTAAGCCAATAAACTTCCTTTATTAAGTCAATATGAATTGAGTCCTCAGGTGCTTGATACCAGAAACATCCTGATATAGCTTCCAAAATAAAAGCTGTTGTCTGCTCTTATCTTTGCAAACATCAACAACTTAAGTAGTCAATTAGCTCTTTTTTTAAGATTTTATTTATTGATTGATTGATCTGAGAGAGAGCACAACCAGGGGGAGGAGCAGAGGGAGAGGGAGAAGCAGGCTCCTCGCCGAGCAGGGAGCCCAACACGGGGCTCCATCCCAGGACCCTGGGATCATGACCTGAGCCAAAAACACAGACACTTAACCGAATGAGCCACCCAGGTGCCCCTAGTCATTTGTCTTAAAGCAGAAGGTACTTTACCTTGGCTTCCAACTGATTGGCAAAAAAGGGAGGGTTGCACATGCAAAAATCATAGATTATCTCAGATTCTTCTTTAAGAGCATCCATCAGGAGTGTCTTCTGTGGTACTTTTACCACTAGGAGAAAAAATAGGAACTGTTAACTACTATTAATGCTGTGGCAGTTTTCAAATATGACCACAGATTCTATGACACTAGTTTCTTCAATGGGTAGAGTTTAACTTCCCTCTCCTTGAGTATAGGCTGTACTCAGTGACTCACTTTTATTGAAGAGAATGAATATGAAGTGAAAGGATGTCACTTCTGAGGCTAGGTCATAAAAGAAAAATGGCTTCCTCCTTGCCCTATTTCTTGAATTACTTGCACTAAGAGAAGCCAGGCTGACACACTGTAAGGTTGCTCAAGTAGCCTAGAGGAGAGATCCAGGAGAATGAATCTAGCCTACTACCAATGACCAAGTTATATGAACCATATTTGGAGCAAATCTCTTATCCCCAGTCAATCCTTCAGATGACTGCAAATTCATCAGACTAAACCAGAACCACCCAAGTAGGCCATGCCCAAATTTCCGGCCCACACAATCTATGAGATATTTGTTTAAAGTTGCTAGATTTTGGAGTAATTTGTAACACAGAAATGGACAACTGAAAAACACATTAACAATGTTAGTATCTCCCCTTATAATGATATGCTTAACACTAGTAAGAAAAGCCTTGTTCTTCCATAAAGAGACATAAATTCTCTTTAATGAAAAAAAGAAAATATGAACAGCTCTTCAAATATACAGTAAGCCTAAAATTAAAAGTAACTGGTCACTAAGGGGACTTGACTATCTGTGGCACAGTTCCATGTACTGAAATAAAAAAGATGGTACACTTTAATCAACAGCAGGGTTTCCCTTTTAAAATCTTGGTGACAGAAAAAAAAAATAAAAAAATAAAAAAATAAAAAAAAATAAAATAAAATCTTGGTGACGGGGCACCTGGGTAGCTCAGTTGGTTAAGTGTCCGACTCCTGGTTTCAGCTCAGGTTATGATCCCAGGGTAGGAAGATCGAGCCCCACACCGGGCTCCCCGCTCGGCAGGGAGTCTGCTTTTCTCCCTCTCCCTCTGCCCCTCCCTCCGCTCGTGCTCTCTCTCTAAAATGATAAAAAATAAAATCTTGGTGACTAGGTTACTTCATGTACAGTTGATTTCCATTATTCATGGTAGTTATGTTTTATAAAGTCACCATGAACACTGAATTGGAACCAATGGCTCCTAAGAGAAATGTAAGGTTAGGTAACTATGAGCCTCTGGTCAAACATTCTCAACAACTGATCAATATATAATTTTATTTTATGTGTATTTCTGTTTAAAGACACTTTATTTATTTATTTTTAAAAGACACCTTATTTTAACATACACCGCTGATTCATTAATACTGAAATGATGGCCCACAGCACTAGAACTCATGTCTGAATGAAGCTTATCTAACACATGTATTTTCCCTGTAAGGTGTGTCACATTCTTCTTATATTGAAGGAACATCTACTAGATACCACTTAAGCAGTTTGTTTAGGGGCCATTTTAAACAGCAAAATCACCAAGAAAAAGTACAAAAATGGAAAAAAAAAGTGACATTAAATAGACTGTGAAAAGGACACTTGTTTATAGCAGAGAGCTGAAACAAAAAGGCAGAGCATCACCTTGTTCAATTTCAGCTGGGAACGTACGTGTTGGATGACTCAAATTTTCTGCCACTCTGAACATGTCTGTAAATGATCCTAAAAGTACCTCGACTATTGATTTTGGGGTTAAACATAACCCCAAGCAGGGAAATTCACAAATACAGAATCCACAAATTATGAGGATCGACTATATTTACCATATTTCCTTCTGAGTTAACTCTGATAACAAAGCTGAAAACCCCATTATAATGTACCTTATTTTTTGTTCTACTTGTTTCATTTATTTTCTTCTTCCAATATTTTATTTAAACTCAAGTTAGTTAACATATAGTGTATTATTAGTTTCAGTAGAATTTAGTGATTCATCACTTACATATAACACCCAGTGCTCATCACAAGTGCCCTCCTTAATTCCCATCACCCATTTAGCCCATCCCTCACCCACCTCCCCTAGAGCAACCCTCAGTTTGTTCTCCATCGTTAAGAGTCTCTTATGGTTTGCCTCCCTCTCTGTTTTATCTTATTTTTCCTTCCACAATATACCATATTTTTTGAAATTACCAAAATCTGTATATTAAAGCAAAAAATGAGATGTGTTAAATTATAAAAACAGATTATTAAACAGTGCTTGAAAGGGATATTTATTCTGTAGAGCTAACCTTTTATAAGATCAGACAAATTATTCTGTTCCACATTTTTCTTCGCATAGTTGAAGCACATGTCATCTACTTCTGTTGCAAGGAAATACCAGCCATTTAAGGTTGTTCCAAGTAAAGGATAGATGCAGGATGCGCCAGTACCTAGTAAAACGAAAATTCAAAACATGTTGCGCACACCAGAGGGAGAGGTGAGAATAACAAGCCAAAACACCATTCTTCTCTTCTTAGAATTCTTGTAACCTTAACAGTTTAAATCCTAAGCTGGTACCTGATTACATACATACTGTAGCTGCTGGGTTCTCTAGTCATTTCAGGTATGTCAGTCTTACCTCATAATTGGATTCAAATTTCTTAGAGGACAGCATCCTCTTCTTTTGTATGTTGTATTTAAAATGAAGTGTGCTACCAGGCTGGTGATCAAGGACTACAGGACTGATTAAAAATTATCAAAACATGTTCATTTACTTTATAAAATTTTTCATTTTAAATCTCACATAAAACTCGATTTTCTTAAATGAAATCAAAGCTTAAAACAGATCAATGTATATCCCGTTCCCCAAAAGCAGAAAAAAATACATAGGATGTAAAATTTTTAAGATTATTTAAATGACCAATTCCTCACATATCTGTAAGTTGTTACTTCAAGGAAATCAAAGTTAAAACAAAAAAAACCCTAAAAACAACAACCACAACAAAAACAACTAAAGAGAGATTTCATTTCTTAGATGTGATGACATGGAAAGACATCTGATCCAGATCCAAAACATCAATCACTGCTTGCCCCACCATGGTTTCAAGGGAGATATTTGAAGGCAAATGTTCCAAGCAAAAATCACTCTTTGACAACTAGGGTTTGGTCCTAAACTTGTATCCCCCAAACATGGACTGGACTATATACTAACCACAAATACTGCTTTTATGACCACTGACTAGTATTGGCCAATAAGATCCAAAGCACACATTCAAGAGAAGAAAAGCCAGTGATTCTCCTGAAGGCCTATGGTGGTCAGCACCTACCAGCCACTCCAGGCCTGCTCTCCCCTGACCACATCTTGGTGCCAGTCTAGTCTTCTAAGGATTTGGCAAGAAGAGATGAGGGCTAGAGATACTCTACACCCAGAGGAAACCCAGGGTCATCGTACTGCTTCTTCATTAAGTATTCTGAACAGGCTGATAGAAGACAGGACAATAGGGGCACCTGGGTGGCTCAGTTGCTTAAGCGTCTGCCTTCAGCTCAGGTCATGATCCCAGGGGTTCTGGGATTGAGTCCTACATCGGACTCCTTGCTCAGCAGTTGCTTCTCCCTCTGCCTGCCGCTCCCCCGCTTCTGCTCACTCACTCTCTCTCTCTCTGACAAATAAATAAAATCTTAAAAAAAAGAAAAAGACAGGACAATAACTAACAGCCCTTTGACAGTCACCGTGACTGCTATACTTCCTATCATGTTTACTCATATCAACCTGGCCCTGAGGCTACTGGGCAAACACCTCCTTGGGGATGTATGAGGTAGTGAAGGAACGGGTGGTAAAGGGAACTCAAGCTCCTCTCAGAGGCCACAATTATTTAGTCCCTGCTAGCCGTTCTGGTAAGCCAGAGTAATTAAGAGTAAGGAAGAAGCTCTGTAGGAAAAAAATACCTGGACCAGATGCCAAGTCTTGATTCTCACACAACTGCCTTCCTCTTCATACTTCAATTCATTTAAAAGCAAACAGCAAAAAAGAAAAAGTACTTTTCTTCAACTGCCCAAAGATCAGGTACCTCCAGGGTAATAAATACAGGTAAAGGACCTGTCCTCTGCCAAAAAAATCAAATTTCTCAATTCTTAAGACCAAAAGACTTGAATTCTAACACCCTCAGAAAGCTGAATGACATTTTAAAATGGGTAACAATCCTTGTAATGATAAATAAAAATGGAAAGTGTATAATCATAGAATTAAAGCAAACTGATGGAGTCTGGGGGAAGAATTTATGTAAAATCCTAATTAGAATGAATGTGATATCAGCAGGAGTGCCCCTTGTGAAGAGCTAAAATCCATTAACCTCCTATATCCCCAAGTGTTACTTTAGACAGTTTGGGGCATAATTAAAATAAATTAGTACCAAGTAGGCTCTTATGCTTTTTAAGCTTTCTATACCCATCAGCCAATCTGCCATGAACATAAAAGGGCAGAGCTTTTGCTAAACCCCTCATTTTTACATAGTGCTTAGCTCATATGGGGCATTCAGAGACTGAATGTTGAAGAATGATGTATTTAGGGGCACCTGGGTGGCTGAGGCAGTTGAGCGTCTACCTTCAGCTCGGGTCACAATCTCCAGGTCCTGGGATTGAGCCCCACATCAGGCTCCCTGCTCAATAGCAAGTCTGCTTCTCCCTCTCCCTCTGTGATCTCTCTTGCTCTCACACTCTTAATAAATAAATAGTATTTTTTTCTTTAAAGATTTTTTATTTATTTATTTGACAGAGAGAGACACAGCGAGAGAGGGAACATAATCGGGGAAGTGGGAGAGGGAGAAGCAGGCTTCCCATAGAGCAAGGAGCCCAATGCGGGGCTCGGTGACCTGAGCCAAAGGGAGACGCTTAACAACTGAGCCACCCAGGTGCCCCAATAAATATGTTTTTAAAAAAGAAAAGAATGATGTATTTATCCATGAACATTCAACAAATTATTTATTGGACACCTACTATGTGCCAGAAACTTTGCTGGGCCTTGGAATATTATAGTAAGCACAAAAGTAACAGGCTCTGCACTTGGTAATCTAGTGGTCGAGAAAGACATTAATCAGACAACTGAATGTGTGGTTAAAAATAAATCAAATACCATGAAGGAAGAAACATGGTTTTCTAAAGCTCATAATCAAGAAAACTGTCTTCTGCTGGAAGGTCAGAGAAGGCTTTCTTGAGGAAATAAGGCTTGAGTTGACAACTATAGGATAAATGAGATTAACAAGGTAACGGTGAAGTTACAGGCAGAGGGAACAACAGTACAAAGGCCTAAAATCATGGTGTCTTACTTTTTAGAAGATCTAAAGACCACAAGTGTAAAAAACAAGGAAGCACACTGGATGACGCTTAGAGAGGTCCAAAGAAGAGGGCAGGGAACAGACAATGGACATGCTAACAGACCAAGTTAGGGTATTGGGTGTTTATCACAGAAGCAATAGGAAGTCATTAAAGTAATAAACATGTGACCAGGTATGGACTTATACATAGTTTTTGAAAAGTGAAATGGAGAGGCAACAGAGTAGATGAGAAGAGTAGTTAAAAAGTAATTCTGGGGATGCCTGGGTGGCTCAGTTGGTTAAGCATCTGCCTTCAGCTCAGGTCATGATCCCGGGTGCTGGGATTGAGTCCCGTGTTGGGCTCCTTGCTCAGTGGGGAGCCAGCTTCTCCCTCTGCCTGCACGCATGCGCGCTCTCTCTCTCTGACAAATAAATAAAATCTTAAACAAAAAAGTAATTCTTTAGACCATGAGAGATGACAGTGATTTGGACTGAGATGGTGACACTGGAAATGGAGAGAAGTAGATGATTTAAGAAATATATTTTTTTAAAGATTTATTTATTTATTTGTCAGAGAGAGAGACAGACAGAAGGTACAAGCAGGGCGAGCAGGAGGCAGAGGGAGAAGCAGACTCCCCACTGAGCAAGGAGCAGGACTTAATCCCAGCACCCCGGGATCATGACCTGAGCTGAAGGCAGACACTTAACCAACTGAGCCACCCAAGCATCCCCAAAAATATTTAAGAGACAAAACCAGCAGGGCACGTATTGAATGGAGCACTGGGTGTTATACACAAACAATGAATCAGGGAACACTACATCAAAAACTAATGATGTAATGTATGGTGATTAACATAATATAATTTAAAAAAAAAAACCAACAGGAAATGATGATAGTCTTGGTGAGAATGGGGAGATGTATCAAGGAATATCAAGGATGACAGGGTGGACTGTGGTAGATTCATTGAAATAAGGAATGAAGAAAGACGACCAAGATTAGAAAGAAAAGAATATGAGTCTGGTCTTGGACATGGCAAAGTCTGAGATGTTCTTGAGATATCCATATTTCTGACATTTGGGACTAGAGCTCAAGATCTGAGTAGGCAGAATACATAAATTTGTGGGTTATTTGCGTGGAGGTGGAAAATAGTCATAGATGTGGATGAAATTGCCTAGAGTTAAGATGCTAAATAAGAAAGGGCTAGGGGTGCCTGGGTGGCTCAGATGGTTAAGTGTCTGCCTTCAGCTCAGGTCATGATCCCAGGGTCCTGGGATCGAGTCCCACATCGGGCTCCCTGCTGGGCGGGGAGCCTGCTCCTCCCCCTGCCTCTGCCTCTCTCTCTCTCTGACTCTCATGAATAAATAAATAAAAACATTAAAAAAAAAAAAAGAAAGGGCTAAAAACAGGGCACACCTGGGTGGCTCAGTCGATTAGGCATCTACCAGGGTCCTGGGATCGAGCCCTGCATCCGGCTCCCTGCTCAGCGGGGAGGCTGCTTCTTCCTCTGACCCTCCCCTTTGCTCACGCTCTCTCTCTCTCAAAAATAAGTAAATAAAATCTTTAAAAAAAAGAGAGAATTTAAAACCATATATACCTATGTCAATTCCTCTTCGGAGAGTATTTTTGTCAGAGTCCTGATGACCAATCAGATCTTCCACCCAATGAATGTAGTTGAGTCTCAAGGGAACTGTAGGAATCAGTCTTTCCAATGGAATATCAATAGAAAGTCCAAAATCTTCCTTTAGAAGAGTACAGGTCAGAGCTCTGACTGCTTCCGGGTCTTTAAAATTAAGACTGAGGAGTGGAGAAAAAGAAAGAAAACTGATTAGTAAGATTCACGGTGCTATACAAGCTCTATGGCGGCCAGACAATACCAAACACCCATTTGAATTTCTAGATCACACATAAATAGCTATGTAGAGCATTGAGCGCAGTGACAAACACATATGGGTGCTTAACACAGTCACAGTATATGAAAGGCAGTATAAATTTCCACTGAAAACACTGCATTTTCATACAAGGAACATGGAGGACAGGAGTGCCTCTGTTCCAATTCCTGCCCGACTGTGTCCTTACTTAGTTAATGTGACTTTGGACAAGTTATTTAACCTCCATGAGACTATTTCCGCAGCTGTAAAATGGGGATAATAATACCTGTATCATAGTGTTGCTGTGAGATAACCTGAGAAAAGTTAGCATAATGCCCAGTACATAGTTAACTATTATACAAACACTGGCTATTTTTACTATTATCATTAACATCATTTGACTTTAGCCCTTTTTAAAAATCATATTTAAAAGTGGAAAGAAAGCAGTATAAAATGCTTAATAATGAAAACAGGGTAAGATACTTAAATATTATAGATAACAATTTTAAAATGTATTTTTAGCAGCTTTACTGAGGTATAATTTACATAAAATTCATAAGTATACAATTCAACAGTTTTTATTATATTAAGAGTTGGACAACCATCACTACAATCCAGTTTTAGAACACTTCCATCACCCCAAAAAAGATACCTCATGCCCATATGCAAGCCATTCCTTATTTCCACTGTCAGCTCTAGGCAACCACTATTGTACTTTGTCTCCACAGATTTGCTTCTTGTGGACATTTTAACTAAACGAAATCATACAATATGTGGCCTTTATGTCTCGATTCTTTTACTTACCACAACCTTTGTGAGGTTCACCCATAGTGTAGCATGTATCAGTACTTCATTCCTTTACATGGCCAAGTAACATTCCATTATAGGAATAACCGCATTAGTGGTTTGTTTATCCATTCACCACTTAATGAACATTTGGATTCTTTCACTTTTTGGCTCTCATGAACAATGGCGCTTTAAATATTCTCATGCAAGTGTTCGTATGATATTACTCATATATGATATTTACATTTAACTTTTTAAGAAACTTGTGCCAATATAATTATTTTAATGTTAAAATGTTCCTAAAGTGGAAACCTTAAAACAAAACTGAAGGCCTTATTTATAAATGGGGCAATGAAAAGAGAGCAGAAAGCCAGTAGATGGGACTGAAACTAAGAAAGGAGCTTTGAGGGGTGCCTGGGTGGCTCAGTCGTTAAGCGTCTGCCTTCGGCTCAGGTCATGATCCCAGGGGTCCTGGGATCGAGCCCCACATCAGGCTCCCTGTTCGGCGGGAAGCCTGCTTCTCCCTCTCCCACTCCCCCGGCTTGTGTTCCCTCTCTCGCTGTCTCTCTCTCTCTCTGTCAAGTAAATAAATAAAATCTTTAAAAAAAAAAAAAAAAAAAAAGGAGCTTTGAAACTGCTCTAAATTCTGGCCTAAAGTTGTATGTTCCCATCTTAGCCATCAATTGACCAATCATTCTGAAAAACTCAATGCCCAGATGGAAGGAAGAGCGCTTTATCCACCTGGATACCATGGAAACTTCAGGGAGATACCATGGACCCAAGCTCCACCATCACCCACAGCAAAAATATTCCAGAGTATGGGAGTTCAGAAATCTGGACTCTAATCTCGAGTCTGCAATCAACTAGCCATGGACTGAAGGTCACTTCAATTCTTAGGTCTCAGTTTCTCCATCTATAAAACTAAGGAATTAGACATAATAAAAATCCAAACCAAAAATCCAAAAAATCCTTCCAGGTAAAATTTTAAGGGTTTATGATGCATACTATGAATTAGTAAAATGGTATTCACTTAAATATTTGTAGAGCAAATTACAGAGACGTGGAACAATCAATAGTTACCGAAGACACAGGATAACCAAACACCAGTAAACATTTCCATTATCCTCCAGTCTGATACCTAACAAATTCTTTATTCTTCTGCTTTATGATAGTAAGCATTTAATAACACTATTAAACATATATTAAGGAATATACAATCAATGGTTGTAGACGACATGATCTACTCTTTATTTTTTTAAGGCAGGGTGCAGAGGGAGAAAGAGAATCTTAAGCAGGCTACACTCCCAGCGTGGGGCCAACACAGGGCTCAATCTCAACCCTGAGAGACATGATCTACCCTTTAAAAAAACTTCAGAAAAACACAACTTTAGTAAGTAAAAGAATTTGCAAAGAGAGATGAGCAGGATTAGATTTCACGAATATATACAAAATTTGTTATCTATACAAAAACTGCGCTCTATTACTTGAATATATGGTTTCTTATAACCTTTAAGAATGCTTCAGGGTTGGGCACCTGGGTGGCTCAGTCGGTTAAGCATCCGAATCTTGATTTTGGTTCAGGTCATGCTCTCAGGATCCTGGGATCGAGCCCCACATCGGGTTCCCTGCTCAGCAGGGAGTCTGCTTCTCCCTCTCCCTTTGCCCTCCCCACCCCAGCTCGTGCTCATTCTCACTCTCAAATAAAATCTTAAAACAAAACAAAACAAAAACAAAAACAAGAATGTTTCAGGGTACTAGTTTGTAGCAAAAAAATAAAAGATATTAAGAACAAAGCTTTCACTCGGAGCGTAAATTGGCACAGCCACTATGGAAAACAGTATGGTGGTTCCTCAAAAAATTAAAAATAGATCAGCCGCAGCAACTTCTTCCTAGAAACATCACCAAAGGCAAGGGAAGCCAGGGCAAAAATGAACTATTGGGATTTCATCAAGATAAAAAGCTTTTGCACAGCAAAAGAAACAGTCCAGAAAACCAAAAGACAACCGACAGAATGGGAGAAAATATTTGCAAATGACATATCAGATAAAGGGCTAGTATCCAAAATCTATAAAGAACTTATCAAACTCAACACCCAAAGAACAAAGAATCCAATCAAGAAATGGGCAGAAGACATGAACAGACATTTTTCCAAAGAAGACATCCAAATGGCCAACAGACACATGCAAAAGTGCTCCACATCGCTCGGCATCAGGGAAATCCAAATCAAAACCTCAATGAGATACCACCTTACACCAGTCAGAATGGCTAAAATTAACAAGTCAGGAAACGACAGATGTTGGCGGGGATGCGGAGAAAGGGGAACCCTCCTACACTGTTGGTGGGAATGCAAGCTGGTGCAACCCCTCTGGAAAACAGTATGGAGGTTCCTCAAACAGTTGAAAATAGAGCTACCGTACGATCCAGCAATTGCACTACTGGGTATTTACCCCAAAGATACAAATGTAGGGATCCGAAGGGGTACGTGCACCCCAATGTTTATAGCAGCAATGTCCACAATAGCCAAACTGTGGAAAGAGCCAAGATGTCCATCGACAGATGAATGGATAAAGAAGATGTGGTATATATACACAATGAAATATTATGCAGCCATCAAAAGGAAGGAGATCTTGCCATTTGCAACGACGTGGATGGAACTGGAGGGTGTTATGCTGAGTGAAATAAGTCAGTCAGAGAAAGACATGTATCGTATGACCTCACTGATATGAGGAATTCTTAATCTCAGGAAACAAACTGAGTGTTGCTGGAGTGGTGGGGGGTGGGAGGGATTGGGTGGCTGGGTGATAGACATCGGGGAGGGTATGTGCTATGGTGAGCACTGTGAATTGTGCAAGACCGATGAATCACGGATCTGTACTTCTGAAACAAATAATGCAATATATGTTAAGAAAAAAAAAGAAGAAGATAGCAGGAGGGGAAGAATGAAGGGGAGGAAGTCGGAGCGGGAGACGAACCATTAGAGACGATGGACTCTGAAAAACAAACTGAGGGTCCTAGAGGGGAGGGGGTTGGGGGGATGGGTTAGCCTGGTGATGGGTATTAAAGAGGGCACATTCTGCGTGGAGCACTGGGTGTTATGCACAAACAATGAATCATGGAACACTGCATCAAAAACTAATGATGTAATGTATGGTGGTTAACATAACAATAAAAAATTATTAAAAAAAAAATTAAAAATAGAACTACTGAGAGAGAGAGAGAGAGACAAACCAAGAAACCGACTCTTAACTAGAGAACTGATGGTTACCATAAGAGGTCTGAAATAGGTGATAGGGATTAAGGAATGAATATGCTGTGATGAGTACTGAATAATGTATAGAACTGTTGAATCGCTATTATTGTATACCTGGAAACTAATATAAAACTGTAATATAAACTATACTGGAATTTAAAAAAAAACAACTACCATATGGGCCAGCAATTCCACTTCTGATTATCCAAAGAAAATGAAAACACTAACTCAAAAAGATATATGCACCCCTATGTTCACTGCAGCATTATTTACAATAGTTAAGACATGTAAACAACCTACATGTCCATCGATGAATAAATGGATTAAAAAATGTGAAACCACACACACACACACACACACAGAGGAATACTATTCAGCCATAAATGAGTGAAATCTTGCCATCTGCAACAACAATGGTGGACCGTGGCATCGTGCCAAGTAAAATGGATCAGACAGAGAAGGGCAAATATCGTATGATCTCACTTAAATGCAGAATCTAAAATGAAAAACAAAAAACACCTCATAGGGGTGCCTGGCAGGTTCAGTCAGCAGAGCATGCAACTCTTGATCTTAGGGTTGAGCCCAAGCCCCACACTGTGGGTAGAGTTTATTTAAAAAACAAAAACAAACAAAAAGAACCCGTCATAGATAGGAAACAGATTGGTGGTTGCCAGAGGCAGGGGGTGGGTGAAATGGCGAAGGGGGTCAAAAGGTATAGATTTCCACTTATAAAATAAATAAGTCATGGAGATGTAATGCACAGCATGGTGGCTACAGTAAATACTATATTGCAAATTTGAAAGTTGCTAAGAGAATCTTAAAAGCTCTCATCACAAGAAAAATTGACTATATGATGACAGATATACTTATTGTGATCCTTTTTGATATAT